TAGAGTTCAGGGTCCCAGGGAACACACACGACTCTCAGTTGGAATCCCTGGAGGCTTATGCTACCAGAGCAGTAGCAAAAAAGAGGTGAATTAAATCTTGCTAAAACCCAACCCCAAGTTAACTGAGTCTCTGGTTGATTAAGTTGATTAGCTCTCACTCTAAATGCTTTGCAAAGGACAGTAGGAATCCTTCTCTGGATGAAGATAATACTATCCAGAGCCTCTACAATTTTTCATATTTGAATGTGTGACATCCTATTAAAAATTCTCAGGCAAGCTAAGAGCCAGGAAAAAAAAAAAATGACCCAAACCAATGGAAAGAATATACAATAGAAATAGATCCACAGAAGATGCAGCTACCGTAATGATCAGAAAGAGCTTTAAAATATCTAGGATTGGGCCAGGTGCAGTGGCTCATGCCTGTAATCCCAGCACTTTGGGAGGCTGAGGTGGGTGGATCACCTGAGATCAGGAGTTTGAGACCAGCCTAATCAACAAGGTGAAACCCCATCTCTACTAAAAATACAAAAATTAGCTGGGCATGGTGGCATGTGCCTGTAGCCCCAGCTACTCAGGAGGCTGAGGCAGAAGAATTGCTTGAACCCGGGAGGCGGAGGTTGCAGTGAGCTGAGATTGTGCCACTGCACTCCAGCCTGGCACCTGGTGACAAAGTGAGACTCTCTCTCAAAATATATATATATTTTTAATTAGAAAGAAGGCAAAAAGCAAAGAACAGGGGATGTGAAATGGGTGATTCAAAAGAAAATAAATGATGATAGGGTAGACATACATCCAAATATACCAGTAATTACATTAAATGTAAATGGACTAAAAATTTTTCCTGTTGAAACCAAGAAAGAGCAGTCTTCCAATTTCAGGCTGGCATGGACTCTGCATAAGACACAATTACCAAGTACAAGTGAAAAGGCAGGGATTCCTAGAGCAAAATATTCAAGGGGGAAATAACTTTTAACTGCCAGCTCCACAGGGCTGAATCTTGAGTAAAGGTTGAACTAAGAAAACCTATCCTTTTTGAAGGATGATGGAAGAACAAAAAAAAAAAAAAGAAAAACTATCCTTTCAGAGTGCAGATTGGTTTTTAACTTGCAAATGACGAGGACTTTAATCTGTCTTTGATGTGAGATTTTTATTTTGAGAAGACCTGAATGTGCCATTTAGTTATGCAAATGTAAAGCAGAGACTCTTTATGTAAGCTGTGCGAAAAGCTCAACTGGGCTTTGTTGTTATAAATTGTTTTAAATTCCTGCTAGTGTTTTCTTAATCCCCAGTTTGGTCTTTCACTGGGATGGCTGTGGCTAGTTTTCTTCCAAATTATCCAAAAGTAAACACAACTCATCTCTGCATTATTTTTCTTCTAAGGCGACACACTGTAGTCTCACATGAAGAACTCATTGTCTTTGTATTAATATAACTTTGTCCTCCTTGGGAAATAAAAATCTGCCTATTCTACTAAAAGACAATTTATTTTTTATGGAGGTGATTTTATTACAAACACGGACCATTTTACCTGAGAATGTGTCTATCTGATTCATCTTGGATGAAAGAGATCCTTTTAAGTGGATTATCTTGTATCCCAAATTTCTGTACTGCGTTGGAGATGGAGCTTGGAAGTAGGTGATGAACAGAAGCTCAGCCAACCTCAATACATTACACTTCTGTTTCTATGTCAGTGTCAGGATATTGATTTGGCTGGACCATCATCTAAAAAGTTAGTTTTGTTTTGTTTTGATTGAGTCTTGCTTTATTGCCCAGGCTAGAGTGCAGTGGTGCGATCTCGGCTCACTGCAACCTCTGTCTCCTGGGTTCAAGCGATTCTCCGGCTTCAGTTCCCGAGTAGCTGGGATTACTGAAGCACGCCTCCACGCCCAGCTAATTTTTGTATTTTTTAGTAGAGACTGGGTTTCACCATTTTAGTCAGGCTGGTCTCCAACTCCTGACCTCAGGTGATCTGCCCGCCTTGGCCTCCCAAAGCGTTGCGATTACAGGCTGAACCACTGCGCCTGGCCCAAGTTACCTTATTCCTATTGAATGGTCCCTACAGTCTATGGTATGGAAGGTAGGGCTAAATTAGAGTGGAGATCGGTTATAGGGACAGAAGAGGTTGGGTTCCCTCTCGCAGTGTCTCCAAGGCTGGAGTGCAGTGGCCATCAGAGTTCACTGCAGCCTGTAACATCTGGGCTCAAGCAGACCTCTCCAGTAGCTGGGCTATGGAAGCGCCCCACTACAACCGGCTTTCCTAACGGCTTCAATTTTTCATTCACGAGCAACACTTTTGTTGTTGTTGTTGTTATAGACCGCCTTCTACAGTACTTGTACATTATTTTAGGTGCTGGAGATGCAAAAAGTCATAATAGAGCATTTACCAGCGAATGTATTCAGAACATACATATATATATATATATATAAAGAGAGTGCGCACAGAAAATATGTTAAGTGCAAAATGACTACAGCAAATGATACCACTACGGAAGCTCAGAAAAGGAAGTCAGCATGAAAGTTAAGGTAATGAGTGAGAGGGAGGCCCTTACAAGCTAAAGCTGAGATAAAATGAGTAGGTATTGGGGGCGACAGTCTAGGAGGGGAAGTGCAGGGTTGGGGACAGAGCAGATAAAGTTCAGGCAGCAGGGTACACTTCCATGTAAATGATTAAGCCTTTAGTAGGTCTTTTTCATGTCATTTACTGTCTTTCCAGTGAATGCAGAAAAAAAGTATGACTTGGCCAGGCGTGGTGTCTCACCTCTGTAATCCCAGCACTTTGGGAGGCTGAGGCGGGCAGTTCACAAGTCAAGGAGTTCGAGAACAGCCTGGCCAACATAGTGAAATCCCATCTCTTCCAAAAATACACACATTAGCCGGGCGAGGTGGTGGACGCCTGAAATCCCAGCTACTCCGGAGGATGAGGAAGGAGAATCGCTTGAACTCGGGAGACAGAAGTTGCAGTGAGCCAAGATCGCACCACTGCACTCCAGCCTGGGTGACAGAGCAAGACTGTCTTTAAAAAAAAAAAAAAAAAAAAAAAAAAAAGGTATGACTCAATCTCCGCATCCAAGAGTTTAAAGCAGATGAAAGGCAAGACAAAAAGAAACATCCATGCAGTCAGTAGACGACAGGCAGGCCATGAAAAAATGCCTGCTTGTGGTTCTGCCCTAAGTACGGACTGGAGTTCCGTACAGGTCAGGAAGGGAAGACCGGCTTTAGAGTAAGACAAATCTCGGTCCCAGGCTCAGGTGAGCGCCACACACTAGCTGTGTGACCTTGTTCAAGTCACACGACCCAGGTCTGTGGAGTTTCCCACAAAATGGCTCTAGCGAGGTCCAAGAACCCACTCAGCTGCTGGTGGACGGAAGAAATGAAGTCAGTGGTTAAAGGGCTTAACACCGGTGCCTCCGGTTCCGCCCTCTCCCCAAGTCTTCCCTCCAGCGGGACAGCTCCGTCAGAGGCTGAGGCGAGCTGCCAGGGGTGAGAACAGGAAGCCGCCTCCTCGCCGCCCTCCAGCCCCGCCCACGGGCACACCTCGGCCTCGGGCTCCCGGACCGTCGCCAAACAAGTCCGGGTGCAGGTGAAAGAGAGGAGAGAGAGGGCTGCTAAAAGTAAACAGACGCCGCCGAAGAGTTCCCATACTGCGTGGCTGCCGGATTTCCGTGCGACACTGAAGCCACCCCACCCAGGCGCCTGCCCTTAGTTTCCCCAGCTGCGGCATGGAGGTGCACCGGCTCCACCTCTCCTGGGTCGCTGCCTGACCTAAACGTGTGAGAAGACCGAAATGAAGCCCCCGGCTGACCGGCCTCCAACCCCTTCCAGTCCTCCTCCCACCCTGGCTTTGGCCGTTTGTACCCGCCCCACGTGACCCCGCCGACCGGCTCTTCCCTGCTGCCCCGCCCCGCCCTCCGGCCTCTGCCGGCTCTCTGCCCAGCTCTTTCCGCTCTCGGCCACCCCCTCCCGCTTTGCCGGGCCTCCACCTCCCCCAGCCTCCCGCCCAGGCTCTTCCCGCTCTCTCCCCCAGGCAGCCGTTCCCTCGCGACTGCTCCGCCGCCTGACTTCCCCTCCCCCCGGCCCGAGTTAATTGTCTCCAAGATGGCGGCCGTGTCAGTTTGGGGCATCTCCGCGGTCCGGCCTGGGGCCCCCGGATCCCGGCTCTCCTTCCTGCCGGTAAGTAGCCGAGGGGCCGCCCCGGCCGCCCAGCCCGAGGCCGAGCCGCTCCAGGGCCCGCTCCGCTGCCTCGCGGGGTCGGCGGGCCGCTGCAGGCCCCGTCGCGGCCTGCGCTGCCTTTTGCTGTTCTGCGCCAGGCCTCGGGCTGGGGCGCCGTGGCCGCCCCTTCGCGCCCGCCCGCCGGGCGCCCGGCTGCCCCCGCCCGCGGCCCGCGTGCCGGGCCCGCCCTGGGGGAGCCGGCAGGTGGGCGGGCGGCGAGCGGCCCAGGCCGCGGAGCCTCGGGCTGGCGAAGTCCGGGAGCCCGCTCTCACTCGGGGCGCGCCCACCCGCTTTCCTAGCGCCGCGTCGGCCGAGTCGGGCGGCTTCCTCCCCGCTCGCGGGCGCTCTGTCATGGGCTCGGGTTCCGGCTCCGGCTTGGCCTCCGGCCGGGGATCAGAGCCGGGCTGAGGCGGCAGGCGGGGCTGACAGGCCGGCGGGTGTTGCGGTGCGAGGCGCAGCACGTGTTGTGTTGTGTCTGCCCGGCTGTCAGCCCCGCCGCCGAGGGAAGGCCGGGCGCCTGTCAACCTCGCCTTCTGGCCCGTTGCGCGACTGTCAGGCTCCCGGCGCCCCGCGCCGCCCTGGAGCCGGCCCCCGGAGCTTAGGGTGCGGAGCTGGGCTCGGGCGATGCACCGCTCTGAACTCCTTCACGTGATTTCATTGTTAACTTGTTCTCGGGGTCTGTTCCCATCGCGTGGAAACGGCGCAGCGCCGGTCGGCGAACTGCGGGGCACACGGGGCTGTGCCGATCCAAGTCTTTGAAAAGAGAGCGCGAAGACGTGTTTGGGGGTGGGGAATGGGGACGGGAAGGACTGTCGGAAGCGAGTTGCGCTCACTCTAGCCGCTGGTGTACTTTCCGGGAGTTAAGTTCCGTGGCTACAGGCGCTTTACTTTCCGAAGACCTGGAGACTGCTGACAATCCGGGCCGGAAAGACAATGAGTGACTGTCACTCATTCTTTTACCTGCGAAGCTTAATCAATTAGGACGTTGCTTCCCAGCTTCTTAAGCTCACGTTGTAGCTTCTCAAGCTCACGTTGTAGCTTCTCATTTAGTTTAGCGTAATGTCTGTATAGTGAGCTTGCTTGGGGGTAATAATACGCCTATTTCTATCCTCTGGAGACCCTCACCAAAATGAAGAATCCCTCTCCCAGGGGGGCTTCTTTTTAGGCAGCTAATTTTAAAACAAATCTTGGCTCAGATTTGAATGTTTGCTTCAGTGTTTTATTTCCTATCAGAGTTAATGGTAATATCTCTTTTCTAGTGTGTATTAGTTTTCGCTTGATTTTAATGTCACAACTAAGAATAGTTGCTGTGGGAGCCATTTGTCTACCATCGTTTATATTGTAATGCAAATGATCTCCAGAACGAGAGCCGAAGTTCCCAAAAACACTTCAGTTAAACTTAGTTTTGGAGGCAAAAGAGTTAGATTCAGAATTCAATATTTTGGTGATTAAAAAAATTGTATCTACCATATTCTTTTGTAGGAAAGGATACTGACTTTGGTTCAGAGAGACAGTATATTTGTGTTTCTGTTTTATTAATGTTCGTTTCAGAGCAGCAATCTCGAATTTATATCTTTATTATATGGGCTTCTGTTTAGACCCACAAGTAGCCAGTACATTCTTTTCTGTACTGTACATTTTGTATGTAGTATGTGCATTGACCCCAGTGCCTTCCTCATTTCTAGTTTTCCTGTCTGTGGATTGCTTATGCACAGCTTGACAGCTGTGACTCTCTTCGGCATATGGATATAACATCTTAGTTTGGGTTAGGAGAAGCTATCAGCATGTAGTTCTTCAAGTTTGAATGAAAGTGGATTATTTTTAAATTCGGTAAGCACTTTCACACTGGGCTATTTTCAGTAGTATTTTTGCTTCCATTTGAAAAGCTTAAGGTAATATTGTGCTTAAACTATAAACTAGGTGCATGCTGTATTCATTATTTTCATATAAGAAATAGCTAAATTTTCTCAATCGTTTTCTGCCTATCTTGACTGTTTTTTATCCACTCTGAATGTCTAGAATTTTGAAAGATGAAAGATTCACTCTTACTTTCATTGCAGGATTCTTTCTACTAATCCAGATACTTGTTGAAGTGCTGACTAGTTTCTTGGGGAAAGATGTGGAGGAAGAGTTCAAATTCCTAGACTGGTGAGCAGAGATTGCAGAGTACAGAATAGCCATCATCCCCTCTGGTTAGTTGTAGCTTAAGGTCATTCTTAGAACATCTCCTGTGTTTCCTCCTTGTATCCTAATTACTCATCTTTTCTTTTTTATCCCAATGGTTTATGTACATGATTGTTTGGAATGTTAATAGATGAGTTTGGAAATTCTAAAGGGTGCCTAGTAAACACTTGCTGTTTGATTGCTTTAAGATAAGGATGCTTATTTTCATTCAAAATAGGTCCTAGTAGAAAACTGACACTATTTTCATTGCTTTTCAGGCATAAGATGCACATTTTTCTGCTCTGAAGCCGGGAATGAAATATTCTTGAGTTCTTAAAACTTTATGAGGAGACCCCTGTGTGGTGCTATTGAGAAATTCATTGGGAAGTTTGAAGACATTTCAAACAACAGGTTGTTTTGGTTTCTGCAGTACAACTGTACTACAGAGGCATTCTATTTTGTGAATGGAGGAAGGTCCACCTGCGCAGTTGAGGACCTGAGCACCAAGCTCAAACCCTAGGTTGTTTCAAACAACAGGTTGTTTTGGTTTCTGTAGTACAACTGTACTACAGAGGCATTCTATTTTGTGAATGGAGGAAGGTCCACCTGCGCAGTTGAGGACCTGAGCACCAAGCTCAAACCCTACGAGAAGGACTGACGCCATGTGCCTCACTTCCTGATGCCCCTCAAGCCACACACGGTACTCCTCAGCCAGGACTGCACCATGACCTGCGCCTTTCTTGGGAACCCACAGCAACCCTCTACAAGGGCGACATCAATATCACGGCCAACTCCAAGTTGTGGTACAACTCTACCAGCAGCGTGTGCACCCTCGTCATCCCCACCTGCACGCTCAAGGACAACGGCGATTACAGCGTGCTGGTGGAGAATGAGCTGGGCAAGGACCGCAGCAGCTGCACGCTCACTGTCTACGACAAAGATGACAAGTCAATTGTAGCATCCATCGCCGAGAGTCTGCAGAAGAAATCAAAGCATCTTATGTGAGCTCCAGCCCAGCCTAGGCGTCAGGAGACCATTATGATGTGGAGCTTCTTGGCCTGTCCTCTGCATGGACCGGTGTAGGAAGCCCAGTTTGCTGTCTGGTGCTTGTCAGTGTAAACATTCAGTGAAGGGATGGAAAACTTGTATGCTGTGGTTAACTGGTTCCCAGACTCCGAGAGTCTTGTTTTACATGGTGTAAAACTTACTCAGCATCAGGATAAGGGATAACGACTCTATGGATATACAGAATCCTTCACCAGGGTAAAACTCCCAAACCCGCTTTATACTGAGTGGATTTTGGAGGCCATCAAAAAAGTGAAAAAGGATAAACAGTGTCATTCAGAAGAAAGGATATGGAGCGCAGTGTCTTCATCCCATGGCTTGGATCATAAAACTGTTTTAGAACAATTAGAGTTGAGTGTTAAAGATGGAACAATTTAAAAAGTCTCAAATAAAGGACTCAATTCCTATAAAGATCCTGATAATCCTGGGCGAATAGCACTTCCTAAGCCTCGGAACCATGGAAAATTGGATAATAAACAAAATGTGGATTGGAATAAACTGATCAAGAGGGCAGTTGAGGGCTTGGCAGAGTCTGGTGGCTCAGCTTTGAAAAACATTGAACGTTTTTTGAAAGGTCAGAAGGATGTGTCTGCATTATTTGGAGGCAGTGCAGCCTCTGGCTTTCACCAGCAGTTACGATTGGCTATCAAATGTGCCATTGGCCATGGCAGACTCCTTAAAGATGGACCTCTTTATCGGCTCAACACTAAAGCTACCAGTGTGGATGGGAGAGAGTTGTGAGTCTCTTTCCTGTTTACCTCCAGTGTCCCTTCTTCCACATGAAAAGGATAAGGTAAGAATGGCATATGCCTCCGGGTTTATAGAGCTGATGATACACGATGCTATAAATTCACGTTTCTAGGAAGTGATATTCAACTTTTTTGTTTGGGGACTTTTGTGAAGTGATCACCTCTAGTTTTTTATTGGTGAGTTCTAGCTATGAGAACTTCATAGATTTGTTCTGATACTTTGAAATATTTGAAGCCTATTATTTTGCCTGAGGAGTACGCCAGCATGAGACTTGAAAACTTTTAACTAATGCCTTACTGCTGGAAGTTGATGAGCAGCCAAATCCTGGAGACTTGAATCTGAAACAAGCAGATGACTCTGAGAACCTGTCTTTCTCTATTTTCCATTTTGTGGCAGATTATTCGTTAGACAGGAATGAGACAGATTCTCATGACCCATAGGCACAACTAAGCAAACTTAGCAATTCTTGTTTCTGCTGTTTGTATTATAGTTTTCTATCATGTATTATGGCTTTGCATATGATGAAGTCCTAAATGTTATTTATGACAGCTATAGTTACTTGGGACAGGAATACAGTATCCTATATTAGAAAAGTTCTGGAGAGCTTGGTACAGTAGCTCATGCCTGTAATCTCAGCACTTTGGGAGGCTGGGGCAGGAGGATGGCCGGAGCTCAGGAGTTTGAGCCCAGCCTGGGCAACATAGCAAGACCCCATGTCCATCAAAGATAGAAAAATTAGCCAGGTATGGGCATGCCTGTAGTCCTAGCTACTTGGGAGGCTGTGTTGGGGAGGATTGCTTGAGCCCAGGGGTTTGAGGCTGCAGTGAACTATGCTCTCACCACAGTACTTCAGCCTGGACAACTAAGTGAGACCCTGTTCTGAAAACAAAAAGAAAGGTAAAGTTCTGGAGAGTTGGAGTTTTGATGTCCAGGTGTATACTTTGTTGTGTGTTTCAAGCTGTTACTGTGTAGAGTTGAAAGTATGACTTCTTGAAGTGTAAATTTGGTGCTTGGAGATTAGGAGAATTTTGTTAGTACCTATTTTTTACATTGACCTAGTATCTTAGCTGTAAATTTACTTGAGGTGCTCCGAATTGTAGTTCCTTGGAGAGCAGTGATGCTTTAAGTTTCTGCACACCTTGGTATAAATAAATAAAATGATCTTCATTTCGCTTAAGATGATGAAGGATACTTCTAAGGGAGAGATGGTAAAGTTAACATTGAATGTATTTTAAAAATTTGAGGTTTGATCTAAATTTGTTGTATTGTTAGCAGCCCACTGAATACCTGTGGATTTTTCTTCAATAATTGAAAATTAACAGTATTTTTCTTTGATGAAATTTTTAGAGAGCCAAACCCCTGGCTAATTTTTGTATTTTTAGTAGAGACGGGGTTTCACCATGTTGGCCAGGATGGTCTCTCGATCTCTTGACCTCATGATCCACCCGCCTCGGCCTCCCAACGTGCTGGGATTACAGGCGTGAGCCACCGCCCCCAGCCTGATTTGAGCATTTAAGACTATGTATTCCAGGTAGACAAGTAATTAAAATGCTCTTTTCTGTATTTCAGTGCTGTAAGAACTCTTACCTGTAAAAACTGTTTATTTATCACATGTGGCTGAAGTTAAATATAATGATTGAATTTCTACAGTTATTATAAAATGATCTAACAGGTTAACTGCCTGGAAACAGGAAGTAATTTGTAGTTAGATTAGTTCAGTGCCATACCTGTGAATTGGATGTTACAAGTTCTTGTTAGGACAGCTGTTTGCTTTTATTTATTTATTTTTGAGATGGGATCTCGCTTGTTGCCCAGGCTGGATTGCAGGGGTGCAGTCTCAGCTCATTGCAACCTCCGCCTCCCAGGTTCAAGCAATTCTCCTGCCTCACTTCCCAAGTAGCTGAAATTACAGACATATGCCACTACGCCTGGCTAATTTTAATTTAAAGTTCCTCTCCTTTAAACTATCCAGTCAGTTCCTATGCAGAATTGATGGTTTGCTGTTATGAACCTAGATGTTCTCAAAAAAAAAAATTAGCCAGTTTATTTGACAGTGATGGAGAAAGGAAGATGTATAGGCAAGAAGTAGTTTTAGGCATTAATTGGCTCAGCATATGGTCAATGAGCATCTACTGTGGGCCTGGCACTCTACTTGGAACAGACAGTTCTGTCTTCTCTGGGACACTAATACAGGTATTTCTATTGACCTGGCCAGCTGTAAGGTGAAGATGAAATTCAAAGACTGTGTGGAGTAACCTGAGCAAGTTCCTCTTTATTTTTTCTGATATTAATTCTAACTTTTTATTTGTGCGTGTGTGTGTGTGCGTGCGTGTGCGTGCACTTTTAACCTTTGGATGGAACTGTGTGTTAGATTTTTAGCAGCTGAGTGGTTTTGGTCTCTTTGGGAGACCAACTGTAAAAATACGTTTAAGAGGAGTTTTGTGAAGACATTTGAACTTTAGTATGTTCTTTTCACATTGATAAGTAGTTAGAAGACTCCATGGGATACTGTGATTAGAAGTTTTCACCCATGTTACAAGGGACATTTTTGAGCTAACTTTAGAATGTGGTAGTTCATGGTGAGTTTATTTGTTTAACTTGTTTATTTACTATGTGCCAGGCATTACTTTATTGCTGTATGTATATTAACTCATTTAATCCTCTAACATAACTAGCTAGTTATTAATAACATACCAGTACCAGCAGTGAAATAGGTACTGTTACTTTACAGCTGAAGAAACTGAGGCATAAAAGAGATTTCAGTAATTTGCTGAAGTCATACAAATACTAGGTGGCAGAGCTGGGATTTGAATTTGGGCAGTCTGGCTCCAGAGTCTTTCTAATAGCCTTACTGACCACCTCTTAGGAACAGTCATGTATAATGGCTATCACTGCACTCAAGTACAAAATTGCGAATGTCTTTAGTGTTAACTTCATTAACTTCATGGCACGTTTCCTGATTGTGAAAGGACAAATTTCCCTCACCTCACTTTCATTGTTTATGTCCCTTTTTCTTTTTTGCAGAAGAGATTTCAAAACTCACTTAGGACCAGTGGTAAGAATATGTCAGGAAGCAAATATTATGAATAATTAGTTTTGTATATCTAAGGTCCATTAAAAAAAAGTTTCACTTACATACGATTTTTTTTTTTTTTCCTTAAAGATAATTTCTATACTTAACTAATTTTCAGTTGTCACCAATATTTTCTGATAGGCAATTTAGGGAATCAGTTGTTTGGCTATACCAGAGTGCTTTAATTTGGGATAAAAAATATTGCTTTCCTTGAATCATGGGATTACAGGTTCGGAGGATAGTGTGTACCTGGCTTAACTAGCAACTTCCTCCTTATAAATTTCTTTTTGAAATATAGATACCACTGTAAGGTAATTTGTTCCATTTACTTAACTTATTCATTATTTAGCAAGCATTTGAATGCCTGCCATGAACAGTGCATTTAGGATTTAGGTCCTGTGAGGGGATTAAAGCAGAAATAATAGAGATACAAAATACATTTTTTGAAAGCCTTTTTTACTTTATGAACTGTATTTTTTTTTTACATTATTTTTTCATAATTAAGTGTTATGACTCTGAGAAATAATTAGATGTTTAGTGGGCAAGGCAATTATATGAGATTGTGCTGGGTCAAATGGTGTTTCTGGTTCTAGATCTTTGAGGAATGGCCACACTGCCTTTCACAATGGTTGAACTAATTTATACTCCCACCAACAGTGTAAAAGCATTACTGTTTCTCCACATCCTCCCCAGCATCTGTTGTCTCCTGGCTTTTTAATGATCGCTATTCTAACTGGCATGACATGGTATCTCATTGTGGTTTTGATTTGCATTTCTCTAATAACCATTGATGGTGAGCATTTTTTCAGAGGTTTATTAGCCACATAAATGTCTTCTTTTGAAAAGTGTCTGTTCATATCCTTCACCCACTTTTTGATGGGTTTTTTTTTTTTTCTTAGAAGTTCGTTTAAGTTCCTTGTAGATTCTAGATATTAGCCCTTTGTCAGATGGATAGATGAAATTTTCTCCCATTCTGTAGGTTGCCTGTTCACTCTGCGATTGTTTCTTTTGCCTTGCAGAAGCAGCTCTTTAGTTAAATTAGATCCCATTTGTCAATTGCGGCTTTTGTTGCAATTGCTCTTGGTGTTTTAGTCTTGAAGTCTTTGCCCATGCCTATGTCCTGAATGGTAATGCCTAGGTTTTCTTCTAGGGTTTTTATGTTTTTAGGTCTTACACTTAAGTCTTTAATCCATCTTGAATTAATTTGTGTATAAGGTGTAGGAAGGGGTCCAGCTTCAGTTTTTTGCATATGGCTAGCCAGTTTTTCCAACACCATTTATTAAATAGGGAATCCTTTCCCCATTGCTTGTTTTGTCAGGTTTGTCAAAGATCAGATGGTTGCAGATGTGTGGCATTATTTCTGAGGCCTCTGGTCTGTTCCTTTGGTCTGTATATCTATTGTGGTCCAAGCAGTTTAAAGTCAGGTGGTGTGATGCCTCCAGCTTTGTTCTTTTTGCTTAGGATTTTCTTGGCTATACAGGCTCTTTTTTGATTCCATATAAAATTTAAAGTAGTTTTTTATAATTCTGTAAGGAAAGTCAGTGGTAGCTTGATGGGGATAGCATTGAATCTGTAAATTACTTGGGCCGTATGGCCATTTTTACAGTATTGATTCTTTCTATGCATGAACATAGAATGTTTTCCCATTTGTTTGTGTCCTCTCTTATTTCCTTGAGCAGTGGTTTGTAGTTCTCTTTGAAGAGGTCCTTCACAACCCTTGTAAATTGTATTCCTAGGTATTTTATTCTCTTTGTAGTAATTGTGAATGGGAGTTCACTCATGATGTAACTCTATTATTAGTGTATAGGAATGTTTGTGATTTTTGCATATTGATTTTGTATCCTGAGACTATGCTGAAGTTGCTTATCAGCTTAAGAAGATTTTGGGCTGAGATGATGGGGTTTTCTAACTATACAATCATGTCATCTGCAAACAGAGACAATTTGTCTTCCTCTTTTCCTGTTTAAATA